TTAGTATTTAAATTTTTCTAACAACCTCCATTTCTGTGTGCGGGGATATATAGTGCGATATTCTTACTGAGTTAGTGTACCTCATCTCTTTATTTAACCATTTCAGATCAAAACGATCAGGTTTCAGAGCTCGATCCGCAAGAATATTGCGAGTAGATGCTAGATTTCTTTATTTTTCATTTATTTCCTTATTATTGTGTTTCTTTCAAAAGAGTGAATTTTGTAACGCTGTTTAGTACTTTAAGTTATTTGTGTAAGAAATGTAAATCCTGAACATTTATTACATTTTCGTACTTAATTATCTTTTAATTTTTTTAGATGTTTCTGAAATATTTACGCTACGATTATATATTTTCTATTTAAATTTTTTTTTTGCTATTTCTGTAAATGTCCCAACAAACTCTGCATTAATTATTTTTCTATTACTCATGCTCTTCCAAATTTTAATAAATGAACATTTTGTTCATGTATATATTTGACACAATTCTAATCCTTAAGATTTGTCCTCTTGTGCAAATTAGTTTAATCTTTTTCTTTAGTATATATACATACACACATACATACACACATATATATGTATACATTATGTTATTCTTAAAATTAGTGCCCTTTTCTAGACTCATGCTCGGAATTGTCACCATGTAATTTATTTCAAACAATACCCATGAACTTATTTGGCATGATCACCTATTAATATCTTAACTTACGTCTTAAATTGATACACACATACATACATACATATATATATATATATATGTATGTGTATAATTTACATATGGATGTACATATATATTGACTAAGCAATTCAAAATCTCACGGCATATATAGGAAATTTTTGTTGATAATAACCAATTTTCTTTGAGAAAAATAATTATACTAACAATGGAGGAGTGCTCTAATAGTGATGTTCACGAATTAATTCATATGGTTTTAAATAAAATTAAAATATATTTAATAATTTGACAATGTTGACATTTTGTCACATTATTTAATTAAGGTAATGATTTTTTCTTATGATGAATTTACATTTTTTTAATTTTATATTATTTTAGAAAGAAACATTCTCTATACGATAAAAGTATGTTTGGGAATTTAGGAAATAAGTCAAAAAAAAAAAAAACTATATGATTAAATTAAAATAAATATTATTAATAAAGTAATTATGCAATTAATATTATTTTGGACTAATTATAATAAATTATTGGGTGTGGTAAAATGAGGGTAGAATTGTAATTTTACACATCCTCTTACTTT